TCTCTCTCTCTCTCTCTCTCTCTCTCTCTCTCTCTCTCTCTCTCTCTATATATATATTATTATTCTCTTTGAGAAAAATCTCAGCAATGGGTGAACGTCCAACTATAAAAGAAAAGGTTACAACATCCACTATCTGAATTGGGTGGAGTGGACTCCTCACAGTATTCTTCTCCACAGTTAATTAAAACAACAACCTACTAGCTATCTTTGTACAACTGCAAACTCTATGAGAGCAACTAGAGACAACAGGTTGTTATATATTGGTCTATTTGCCTCGAAGCCAATTATTATACAAAGTACTATTCTGACACTAGACTTCCAGTAACCTGTTTTTACTTAATCAGCCATGTAACATGCAAATACCTGGAATCATGAATGCGCAATGATTTAACCCAAAATGCATCACTCCATCGGAGAAGGGGAAAAACACAACGCAGAATCCAGACAGTTAAGAAATACATAGCTGAAAATAAATATTTCGCCTCGGCTTGGAATCGCTTGGTCAATAAATGCTGCGTGTCTTGACAGATCAATCGAAATGCCAGTGACAGCAGGGATGCATATCACACGATATAGGGCAAACTCACCGCGTTGAAATAGCTTGATATCCACTTAGTGTGAAGCCAGAGAGCCGAACACACTGCTAGAGCAGATTAAAGATCGTCACCCTATTGGAAACTTCACTTTATCCACAGGGTAAATTCCCCAGACTCCTCAAGACACTATAATCCTCCCTCACGGTCGTGATGATGGGTTTAAAAACAATTAAACACCAGCCTTTCGGAGACGTGATTCCCCCTTTCCAGTGGAAAGAAAACGATATCCACGTAAAAGTAGGTCTGCTTCACGATTATCCCCATCGGACTCACCTTTTTGAGATAAACAATACACGTCCAGTGACATGTGGTACGGAGGGAGAGACAGACCGAGAAAAAACAGCTCGAAAAATCCTCTCGACAGTGTTCCCTGAGAATCCGGAGTCAATTCAATATTTCCCAACGACGCAGGTGAATGTTAGAAAGCTGCAGTCTTGTCTTGTTGCATACATCCAGCGGTTGCATGAACAATACAAAAAATCCAGAAGGATAGAAGTTAAGAGTATAAGAAAATTAAACCAAACGAGATTGAAGCCAGTCATTGTTTGATATTTGGTTTTCGGCAGAGGTCGCGTTCATCGTCAGAAGACGAGCCAGAGGAGGGAGCGCTCCGACTTTTAGCACCTTGGAGAGCGACTGTCTCCCGCGTCCTGCACTGAGCAGAGCAGAGCGCCCCGTCCCCCTCCGTCACCCACAGACACAGCAACGCTCACATCCAACGATCCGAGGACGACTCCGGCTGCATCCCCCAAACTGGTCCTGCAAAAAAAAAAAAAATCATCAAGTCTAACGACGCAATAAACGGTCAGTAGACATAGAGGTTTCTAGATGAGCAGCTGGAGGTAGGCTAGATCTGTCAAATGTGTGGCGTGCCTTTTCGTGTCTGTGAACGGGTGCGCCTGTGTTATTATGCGCCTGTGCATGTGTGTGTCTGCGTATATGTGCGCCTGTGCGTGCCATGTGTCTTCACACATGACCTGCAGCATTACCCTGAGTCACTCATTATCTGCAGCACAGTATATAGAAACCTATTTGTATTCTACCATGAGACAGCAAAAAAAAAAAAAGGGAGTCTGACTTGGCAGCCCCTACAACAACAGAACAATCCAGTATGGCTTTGCATAGCAGCATTAACTTTGTTATGGTAACTGGTAGGGCCAGCCTGACAGTCTAAGCACAGATGACTGAGTAAGACCCAAAATACTACACTTAATTAGTTATTCCCACTAGGAACCATACCAATCTTTTCAACCTCAACCTCATGGCCTTGTTCAAATATAACTATGTACATCATGGCCTTTATCTGAGTAATGATTAAGACCTGATATTCCATAGGAGTTCTTTTACATGAAACAGGTATCAGACCCCAAGGCAACTAAGTTCCATTAATGCACAGTACTGATTTTGTCTCTTCCCCGGAGTCCTTGTGCTTTCTCTCCTCACAGGTTTCCATGGAGCATGGTTTCATCTGGATCCTGGTCCTTCCTCCTACCATGGCCCTGCTGACTCCAACTGCTAATATCACTTTTATTATCACTCACATTACTATTTCATATTACCGATACCATTAATGCACATTATTGACCTGCTTCTTCACCAGAGTCTCTGTGCTTTCTCGCCTCACAGGTTCCTGTGTATCCGGGTTATACCTGGACCAGGTCTTGCCTCCTGCCGTGGTTCTGTCATACATTGAATGTACTGTAATCACATTGAATGTGTTGTAATTCACTATCCTGTTCTACACATGACATCTATTGCACTTCTGTCCATCCTGGGAGAGGGATCCCTCCTCTGTTGCTCTCCCACAGGTCTCTTCCTCTTTTCTCCCTGTTAAAGGGGTTTTTTGGGGGAGTTTTTCCTGTTCCGATGTGAGGGTCCTGGGACAAGAGGATGTCAAGTGTGTACATATTGTAAAGCCCTCTGAGGCTAATTTGTAATTTGTGATTTTGGGCTATACAAAAATAAATTGAATTGAATTGAATTGAACTAAGTCTGAAACTCACCTCTGCAAAGTATTACATATACAGTTACATCTGCTGCATACTGACCCATCATGAAAGGTCAAATACAACAAAAACAGCCGAGTTAAAAGTTGGTGTGGCATGAATTCTGGGTATTTACAGTTTTCTACCAGACTGAAATAGCTTAAAAACATTTATAAAGCTATCCAGTTACTGAATCCTACACAGATCAATATCCAGCACATCTTTGAAGTGCTGCTATGGTATATTATCTCATTTATGTACATATAATGCAAAAAAATTTCATTTCATCATCTGATGACATGACCCGAGTTAAAACCCGCCACCCCATGTTGATTTTCCTCGTTAAAAGTTCAATAATCACAGAGAAGGAGATAGACATAAAGGGAAGCTAACAATTTAGATAGAGACTTTAAATGTCCGAGACAACTAAGATTTAGATTTTTCAAATTAGGGTGGCAGCTCAGAAGATATCCTATATCTATCAAGTGTATATCCTCATTAATGCATGGGCATATCCTGGGCCTCCTCTCCTCTGAGCATGATTCTCAGCTGCAAACAGCAAAGCGTGCTCTCTGGTACAAATTCAGCATCAAGCTCAGACTTGATGACATTCAACCTCCGTAACTAACACTCTATCTAAAGAGCAATGTGTTAGCGAGCTCCTGCCAGCTACACTCCACTTATTATTCTCCTAATCCTAGAGAATCGAAAAGGTTTTAAAAATTGAATCATATGATTTCTGTATTTAGAATGAATAATAAATCACTCAGGTTTGCGAGACAGTGCAGCCATTGACAGGGGGTTATTTATCTCCAAAAGGTGGCAGGTTGTTGAAATGCAAATGTCGGCCTGTGGCAAGCGGGGGTTTGTTAAACTCCTGGTAACATGCGCAAAGTGCAAAATTACCGTGTCAGCTGAAACATTTAGCAGGCAAACGCAGGGCAAACTGAGCGTACACTGCTAACTTTTATCCCCGACTGAATACGGGAATGTGGAAGGCATATTTTCATTACAATTTCATATGGTGTTTGCGTTTCTCTTACTCTCCTCTAATCCAGAATGCTGTTCTCTCATCCTTTAAAATCTGTATTTGACTTCATCGAGTTGCATGTGTGGGCTGCATTCCCCTCCAGACTCGAACAAGACTTGGTTTCCCGGTTCGAATCATGCCTCCTCCACAAACAGATGTGTTTTATGTCAGATTAGGAAACTGTTAATGACACCAAACAATCCCTCATGGTTTGTAATTGCTTTCTCATGGCACATGTCTTTCTTGCAGACTCTCTCCAAAACATGCATGTTTATCTGTACTACACTGTGTGCTTAACTATGCAACACAACCAACCCCTACCTACATCCCTTCCCCAACTCTCTGCGCATAAACGCATTGGCCGTTGACCTGGTTAGAAAGAAAACACTTTACGAAACACTTATGGTTTGTAAAGCCTCTCATCTTCATCCCTCTTGTCACACCACTCCCCCTATTTGAGCCAGAACAAGTGTATATATCATTTATTACATCTGACATTGCACAAATGTATCTCAATGTGAGATGTGTTGTATAAGACAGCCGGCCACCTACCATAGCATGCCATGGTCCATTAGGCCTTCACTCTGGTTCACAAAAAACATGGCGTGGATGATATGAAACAACACCGTTACTGAAAAATGAACTAGAGCAACCGCTTTCATGAAGAGACTACCTGTGTGTTATTGCTGGGTGCATGGTGAAGTAGTCTTGTTGGTGTCATATGACATTTTCCTTATCACACAAACAGAGGTGTTTACATCTCAGTTGCGTTTGAGGTGAGTTAAAGAATTCCCAGCCCACAGGGTTCCAATTCAATCAGCTAATGGAGCTCTTCATCCCCCTGCCTCATGCCTTCCACCACCTCCATTTTCCTGCAGCAACACATTCACTGCGGCTGAGTCTGTACCACATATTATAATGGTTTAGCCATTAGGGCTACATTTATAGCCTGCTAGCAGGTCTTAGGCATTATATTCGGTCACATCTATTCACACTAACGTATTCAACTGAATGCCAGAGAGGGAGAAAGCAGAGTGAGGCGAAGCAAGTGAAAGAAAGGAGAGAGAGAGAGAAGAAACAGATATTAAAAGGGGGAGGGGGGGCCTCAGGCAACTCAAGGGTTTTGTGTTAGTGAGGCGTGCACTTTTCCTCTTCCATGGTATTTCCATGGGTTACACTTAATAAAGCAAAGGCTTTGTGCTAATGTCTCTAGAAGTGAAATTCACGCTTAACAACACAGTTATGTCTCTCACTTGTATTCTGTTCTTGCCTTTAAAGTAACACTAGTTGTATAATCTTACCGTGACAAATGTGATCTTTGCAATCCCATGCTGATCCACACACTACTTAAAAAAGTCTATTCAAGTAATTTAGTCATCTTTAATGATGAATGCTTTAGCGTTTAAATCATCTTGATTTTAACACTTCACACATCATTCTGCACATTGTTTAAAATGACGGTGTCAATAGACTGAGCATTTTTCACGGTTGTTGGAGAATGACAATAGTATTTTAAGATTGTTTCTTAATCCCCACAGTTACAATATATACCAAAATATGTCAGGTCGAATTTGGGGAAAATATGTATAAAATGGTGTACGAGACATAACAAACATGGGATTGAGTATTTCACTCACGCAAACATTATATAGATACAATGCAATGTGCTGCCAGGGAGTGAGGAATATGATGACTTTAACAACCGTAAAGCTATGGCAAACAAAAAGAGACACTGTGGTTAAGGAAAGTATATAACAGCGTAATCAATTCAAACTGGAAGCTTTTTGTACTCTGTCTGCTGTGTGGATAGTACGCCTAAGTGTTTCAATTCAAGCCTGATTTCCAGAGAGTGCATCTCATAGCCCCACACTGTTTCACCCTATCCACTTTCCCCTGGGGTCCGATAGCCCACATTCTTATTACATGGCACACTGATTCAGACATTCATTCAAATACCCTCCTCTAAAGCAAGGGGAAAGATTCATTGGCTTTTTGGGATGATTCAGCTTGGTGGCAACGGTGAATAGGGAAGAAATCCGTGCTCTGGTCTCAGTTTGCTGGGGGGATCGCAGCTCTCCCTGTGATACTTATTATCCCAGCTGTGTGTAACGGTGCCCCTGTGGGTGCTGGTATTTTCCACCGAGTTAGAATAAGAGCTCTCTTCTCCTCCCGTAGGGGACCCGTAGAGACTCTCTGATTCGCTTTCTCCAAAGGCTGACGATGCTTCAGCAGCTCCAGTGAGGCACTGAGCTCTGAGACTGTGTCGCCGTGGTTGGTTGCCTCTTAATGACTCTGCTGCTTTAGACATGCAAATACAGTTGAAGTGGAGACGAGGCCTGGAGGGACAATTTGGCATATGAATGAAATGCAACACACTGGATTTCACAGTCTAATATGTGATTAAGTTATTTGTGCGTTAATGACTTAATGAACAGTGTGTATATGGTTAGGAGACATCGATACGATTTTTTTTACAGCTCAGTCAAAGTATTATTCACCATCAATTTCTAATCCCGATCTCTGAAGCACACTAATTAACATGTTATATCGTCTAAACCAGCTATTCTCTCCTGCTTAGATTATTTATGCTAAGCTATTTCCCTCCTAGTTGTACTTTCGCCTCATACTTCACGCACAGGCATTGATCTCCTCGTCTAACTCTTGGCAAGAGAGAAAATTAGTGTCTTTCCCAAAATGTCGAACAATTCCTGTTAAGCAAGCCTATGATTAGTTACAGGATAGTGGTAAAGGCTATACAATGTGTAACAGCAGCATAAATAGAGAAAAGTCATAAAATCAGCAAAGTGATGAAAACATGTAATCATAAAGGAATCATTCTCTGGGTTCCATGAATATCTTCGTCAAACAAAATGGCAATCTTTCCAGCAGTTGGTTCTTTTGTTCTTCAGCAGATCAACCGATGGCACCATCCTTAGTTTGGGGTATGAGTTACTGACGTAGTATTCCAGCATTTAAACGTTCAGTGTGGTGTTTGTCACTTG